TTTTTTTTTTATATCCATTCTCCCCCCAAATGATCCATTCGGACCAATCATACCACAATTTTTAATTATGGCTATGTAGCATGGTAGAATTTGGATTGTGTGATTGATCTCTTCCCAAAATGATAGAACATAAGGGCATCTCTATCAAGGGGTTTATGCGAGGTTTATAAACCTCATTTTTATCGGTTTAACTACTAAAACAAAAAAGTTTAATTAATGTTCACAAATGTAAATCAGGTTTACACTCTTAAATCTCACATAAATCACAACAAAAAATATTAAACGTACAAAAAGTGGAGGCGTAATGTAAAAATATTAATAAAATGTGTGAGTATAATATTAAATGAGAAACATGTGAGACCATAAAAAGAGGTGTAAAAGGGTATTGTTATTTTAGGTCTGATGGGTGTATGAGGGCATTTTTAGCAATGTTTTCTGATAAACTTTTATAAACCTCACGTTTACACTTCCGAACATGTCATATCAATCAAAACTCTATTCTTACTCATACGCCTATAAACCTCCAATAACAATAAACCCCACAAACCTAATTTTTTATGGGTCTCATATGTTTCCTACTTACTTTAATTTAATATTATACTATTTTATTTTATTAATATCTTAAAATTATAACTCTACCTTTTATTCTTATTAAATGTAAAAAGTGAGAAAATGGGCCCACAAATGAGGTTTATTGGAGGTTTTGATTTCCAAACTTGTTTTTCCAAACTTGTTGGGGAAAGATAAACCTTAAACCTCTCCCATTTAATATCAAAAGTTTGAGAGGGAGTTTATCAACCTAAGGAAAACCTCCTTATTAAAGATGTTCTAATGAAAATGAAGTTTTGAATGATGTGAGTCACAAAGTATAAAAGGAAGTGTAGATTTAATTGATAAAGATGCTCTAATAAACATGACAGTGAATCAAACACATCCGAAAGTTATAGTAAACTATTCTTATGGATGTGATTTGTGAATGATGAGCAACAGTAGCATGTATTTGATTAATTATCACAAGTTCTATTGTTCAAGTTAAATATTTCCATGGTGGGTCTCACAAAAACCTTAGATCACCCTACTATCTCGTTGAACTTTTTCAAAAGCTTTTGTTCAACATTATAGTTTAGAGTTTTGGGAAAAAAAAAAAAAAAAAAAACATTATAGTTTAGAGAGAAAAAAAAAAGTAAGTGTGAGCCTGACATAAATTTTAGACAACTATAATTTTTCAAAACACACACACACAGAGATTTATTTTTGTTAACATTTTATTGTGTATCGACTTAGCTAACCATTAGAGCGCTTCTTCAATGCTGCGCCGCAATGTTACTCTACTCTAGAGTTGTGCGAAAAAAGTGCTCCGATGATGCGCTACGTTTTCATACTAATCTGAAGATACGAACAGTATTGCGCTACATGTAGAATAGTACTATTTACCGCGTTAAATTTCTTTTTTTCAATTTTTAGTTTTTAAATTATTTTCTTTCTAAATATTATTTTTATAAAGTATACCTCAATAAAATTATTTATTATTAAAATAATTTCAACATTTCGATTTTACAGTAGTATTTATATTTTATTTTGTACAATTAGATGCAGCGCGAACTATTGGAAACGAAAGTTAGATTTTGACATCCTCTATTTCAAAAGTGAATTAGGACATGGAATAATTTGTTGTCTTAATGCCTAACACAGATTGACCAAAAATAGTCCCCCACTACATGACACAATTATCCTTAAAAAAAAAAAAAAAA